GCTGATTTTTTGGTTAGCTTTCTGGCATAGTGTGATGATGCATTTAGGATGCTTTTGACGCTGTTACAGTTTCATGTGGTCACTCAAGAAGCAGTGGGCGAGTTCAGAAAACTTCCATACTTGGTATTTGCTGTGGTTTTTAAGTAGCAAGAGCTGAAAACGTGTGGGAAGTACTTTTAAACTCAAGGGGTTCAGACAGTTCCTAACTTATGTAGAGGGTATTGAGGGTTATACTGCGTGCCATATTTTGTCCTGTCAGATTTATGTCTCAGATCACTTCAGTCACAGGTACATCCTTCCAAGGATTCAAATCATCACTGAAGGTAAAAGCCCTCACAAACGTGTGGACACCTAAGTCCTTCACAGCATGGCCACAGGGTGAGCGAGCACTCTTCCCCAGCTTTTGTTTTGTTCAATTCAAGGCTTGGGGGTGTTTTTTTTCTATTCCTGAATTTCTTTAGAACGTCACTGGTAACTGTCGGACGGATTGCCAGCGGGGCTTGACCATGCAAGAACATTTAGAAGGATTTTTAAGTCCGAGGTCTCTGCCCTGGCTTTACTGCCACAGTAACAGTGAAATTCCCTGGAAATGATCAGGCTCTAACTCAGACATTTTTCACATTTTGGCATCCTCAGCATATACAATATCGTGGGAAATTACTGAATCATTGCTGTTACTTCCCTGAGAGGAAGTTCCCTTTGTAGTTTTGGGCTGGAAGATAAACAAGTGAGCCCAAGACTGTTCATGTTCACAGAGTAACTTTTATTTACAGTCAATAAACCTGGAAAAGAGATGGGCAACTCCTTCACTGTCCATTCCCAGCTCAGGGCTATTTCATAAAAACCACATCAACTCTAAAGCTCAATGCAGTTCCCGTGGTAAGAACTGGACAGGAAAATGCTCCTTAAAGGAATAGTTACAAATCTAACAATTGCAAATCCCAAGACTGAAAAATCCTGTCCACAAGCTAACAAAAAGATAAAAATAAACATTTCTGCACCTTCTTGTGACCTCTGCTAGAAGAATATGAACAGATGAGCTAAAGAGGTTGTGATATTTTCTTGCTTTTTCAGTCTAAACCAAAACCTAATTTCAGTTGTGACAAGTATCTTTGTGCTAATATCTCTTTTTCTTCTGATTGACAGGCTCAGTTGTCTTATAATGTTAATCCATTTTGACAATACAGACAGGATATCTTCATAAAAACCAGACCTTAACAAGACTTTCTATTGACCTTTAACATATAGCTACGTTATTTTCATAATTTACCTTGATTATCCTCACTTCAGCTATGAAGAGCCACAGTACTTTAGAAAAAAAATCAACTAAAACCACTAATAAAAAAATCCTTTCAGGTTTAAAATGCTTCTTGATCAGATATTTTGAGATTTAAATTACTAAGTTGTTTGCAGTTTACTTGTCTTAATATTACTCAATGCTGCTGTGCCTGCTTTTACTGACACAACTGCTAATAAATCATTATGAAAGAAGGAAAAGTATTATTTGGTATAAAGCCAGATTGCTTTTTTTATCCATTTCTCTTTTTTCCTTGGAGTTATTTCAATACAGGGTTGGCTCTGGCAACATTTGAGTACCTAAACTTTAAATAACAGATCTTGTCCAAGCTATTGCACGTGTCCATTAGAACTCTTACATTTTCCTTATTCTTACATACAAAATAAATATAATAAGCCTGGTTCTTTACTGTGTGCACTGTAAGTAATCATTATACCCATGCAAGAAAAACACAACATGAAAGAAAAAAAAAATCTCATTTGATAGCACAATGGATTTATTTTGAATAACACACCACAATAATTACACAAGATGATGAATGATGAAGAATCCAGCTCATTATTTCTAAGAAGCAGCTATCTGTTAGCTAGTACTGCATATCCTAGATATAAAGGCCCTGGTTTATTACATGATTATTATTAGTCCAGTTGCCAATCCAAAGATCATGTTTGATTGTCCCATGTGCAGCAGAATGCTGATCTATTTCCCTTCTTCATTCTTCCTCTGTGCATGTATAGACAGGTACATTAGTCTGTTCTGCCAAGCGCAATTTTTTTATCTATGCAGAACTAAAATGATTCTTCCTTCTTATCAGCATCTTCCTACATGCAGAGGATAAACCAAAAATGTTTCTTCACCCCATGTTTTTGTCAGTTCTCTGCTTGGAGGGTGATCAGATCATTTTTAATTGTATACTGAGCAACAAATATCTGACATTTGAGTTTGAGTGACTGAGAACTGAATTTTGTTGACAATATTAATATGATCCTCTGTTTAATGTCTATCAATTCTTAGGAGTTTAATCAGATTAACACTTTGCTGAGGACTCCCAGGAATACCTCATTCACTCAGTCCCACTGATCCCCTTCCCTTTCCTCGGGCACTGCTCTTATCTCCTGTCAAACAGACCAAGCGCAGTAAACTGGCCAAGCGAATCATCTTCTAGTGACCTCACAGGAGTTTCACCATCATCTCTTTGGAAGGCAGGATCAAGCCTGTAGGGCCATTCTGAAGTAATTTATCTGTGGGAGGAAGAATCTAAACTTATATGATCCTCAGCTTGGCTGGAGGGTTAGGTTTTCATGCAAAAATTTCATGAAATTGCAAGCTGCTCTATGTGTGAAATGTTCTTTTCAGTGTTTGGCTGTTTGATTCATTTTTGAGTTACCTAGGGCTCTAACTAAAAGAGAGATAAATGGATGAAGAGGATCTCATCTGCTTGTCAGCCCATGAGTCAGCACGATGAGAAGATGCAAGGTGTGACCCAAGTGCGTTTGTGGGTGACATGCTAAAGCAAAGTTCTGACCACCTTCCTCATTAAAGATCCCACTGCAGTAATTCTATCTGTAAGCTGTATTAACTCTGATGGCCTGGCCAGATTCCAAGCTTAAAAATTTACATTCTTCCATCTTTGTTCCAAGTGGACACTATAATCTTAATTTCCTCTCTGAAACAGCTCTCTTTCTAGGCTGCTAAAACCTTCCTGTGTCTCACCACAAAGTTTCAGCACCATAGTGGATTAAACAATCATTATATGGTTTCTGCATCAACTTGTGAACCAAGGGAGTATATCACAACATCAAAGGCAGTATAAAAATGTAAACTACTAATACTTTTGGGCCTGCTCATTGCAATATAAAATTTGGCCAGTGGCAAAAAGTAGTTGGCTGAGAGAGTGTTCAGTGGCTCCAGTAACTGCTGAAGTGCAACATTTCTCCCAGCATGTTTAGTGTCATGAATGCATAAGTTTGACCTAAAAACCAGATCTTTCTGTATATCGTGGTACTGGGTCAGCATTCTTTTTTAGGTCAGATTCTCATCAGATTTATGTTGCAAGCAGTTACAAGTCCTGCATGAGAGACACTTGTGTTAAGAGCAAAAAAAAGGTAATTCTTGGGCTTTTTGTACATGTTTGGCCCTCTGTGTGAGGTCAGTGCAGGAGAGAGTAATTTCATGAAGGAAACGAGACATCTGTGTTAAAGTTCCCCCCTGTTTGATGACAACGCTGATTGTTCAGAGAGAAAACATACGAGAAGGACACACCTGTGGCAATATTTCCCCTGGTGGGATCTCCCCAGATTCTCCCTCTCAGGGCTGTACACAAAGAAACAATGAACAGAACTGTGGCATGAAGAAATGATATACAGATGTAGCTGATGCTGAAAATGCTATTTGCATAATATGGTAATATATCCGTTGTAGTTCCAGCTACATACATGATCAAAGCATCCACTGTAAATGATAATGCAAATTAATTTTAGGCTCATTATTATTAATTGAACCTGAATAGAAATCAGATTCAGTAAAAATAGAATAAAGAAACAAACTGAAACTATGTAGGGAAACAGTCATTAATGTGATTATTCTCCCTCACTTAGAGTTAGGCACATGCTCCTTCTACCTGTGTTTTCCTTCTGTTTTCTCTGGTATGATTTCAGATAGAAATTCTCCTTTATTCTGCAGTTCGTGCTCTTGATTTCTCTTTTAATGTTCATGTCACTCTGTCAGCACACTTTCTTAAATGTATTATTAAGGTCTGCATGGTCTAATAGGTTGCCATTACCCTAAGCTTTATTCATTCCTTTTCCAAATGAAATCAAATTTGGGCTTGAATAATGTTGACAGGGACATTTGCGTAAACTAAGTTCGTTACTGCAGTAATGGGGTTGTTTTTGTGAATTAATGGGTCATTTGTTTTTAAAAACAGAACACCAGCATGTTCCTGATGTTCCTGCCCCTTCTAATAACTCTTTAATGGTGATCTTTTGTCTTGTTGCAACGGTTTCTAATTTCTGCGGTTCCTGGAGATAAGAGAAGGATAAAACGCTAGGATCTAGGATCTAGTCATTATCCAGCACTGAAGTTCCTGTACTAAAGTGGGTTTAATATCATTTAATCATGTAATTTAATTAAATCCTGATTTTTGCTAAATATTTAAAATGGTGAGACTACATTTTTTTTTCCTAGACAGTACTGGAGTGTGATCTTCAGTGACTACAAAATTATTTAGCATTAATAACTCTCAACTGTAACAAGTGGATGGTTAGTTTCCTGAGAATTAAATCCACCATTAGGATATGAGCATCTTTTATTTCTCTGTGAATATTTGAACTTCATCATAAAGCTACTTTCAGCATAGGATAACGCATTGGGCAAAGACTGCATGCAGTTGTAGATGCAAAACAAAATTAAATTCCTTCCTAAATTGAGGAAGCAAAAGAGGACAGATAAAATTTGTGATCCATTCCTAGGATCCATTCCTTAGCAAGACCTTAACAACTTCATTCTGGCATTTTGAAGGAAATGCCATTGTAAGTAATGATTAATCTTATTAGTTTCCTTACTGTTTTTGTTATTTTCCTCATTACAGATCTTGTCATTTATTTACATGTAGCACTGTAAGAAATGTTAATGAAACAGTGTCTTTTTTTCATATTGATATATTTATACTTACATAATATTGATACTTATAAGTGCAGTGACATTGCATTTATTACCTTTCTATCACAGGATGTGTTGGTAAATACCCAACTACTTTCCTGAAATAATTTTGGCAATTGTGTTGAGCAGTGTTGTACTTATATCACAGTGGCTACCTCTGAATCAACATAGCAAATATAAATATATTATATATATTTTTACATATATATATATATATAGAGAGAGAGAGAGAGAGTATATGTATATTTGAGATGTTCTCACCCTGTTTCCTTCAAGAGAGATACTCACAAGGAAAAACTGAAACTCTTTTCCCATTGTCAAACATAAAAACATTTTCCTGGGGAAGTCCTGCTTACCAAATGTGTCTGCAAACACTAACAGCAGTAGAGCATGCCCAAAAGATTGGCTTTGTCACCTTTACTCCTGATAAATGACATTTTACTTTGTGTGCACTCACTGAAGTCAGCAAGGCTCGAGTATGCAGATATTGATTTTGAATCCTGGACCAGAATGTCTCGCTCTTCCCAAATTCTAGATTTTCCAGCAATGCTGGTCACCATTTCAACAGCTCTGAAACTGGATGTTGCAGGTGTCTCACATTGACAATTGCAATTTTACTGATGCTGTGCAGCACAGGATGTCCACTCTTATTAAGTTTCAAGACACAGGAAATGCAACTTAGTAACTGAATGCATAAAAAGGAAGCAGCGTTTTAAAGTTCAAGGTAAGTGCCATGATTTTTAAGTTGGAGGAGGAGGAGAGAGCGTTTAATGGATCCTTTATTTAATTTTGAAATTTGCTGTTCATTTTTAATGTTTCCTACAGAATTCAAGAAGAATGGGGACATCAGTACACAATGATATGCAAAAATAAATTACAGACATTCAAACTTCAATATGCTGGCTTCCTGATCCCCAAAAGCCCACAGTGAGGAGGTGCATGAAAGGGAAATGAAGAACTGCCAGGCACTTGGATCCTTATTGTGAGGACTGACTGAAGAAAACATGCAAAACACAAGGTGCTGCATAGAAACCTTGGAATCAGAATGGGTGGGTAACCAGACGAATGATAACCAGAACAAAAATATGTAGACCAAAATGCAGGTGTTCACTGCACTCAAAATTAATCTGTTGCATTGTTTCCTGAGGCCATAATTTGCATCAGATGCTCAGCAGGATTCAAAATCTGACTAAATATTCATGTGGGCAACAGGAAACTCCCAAGGTATAAACCCAGAGTTTCTAAAAGTCCTTCTGGAGAGGTTTTACCTTTCTATGTTGTAAGGCATAAGGCAATTCCTGATCACCAAGAGCAAGGAGGATATTTTTCCCAAGAATATGTTTATTCCTTCTGTATTTCCTCACTTTCTCTAAACTTCTGCTCACTAATGTGATCGTGGTCTGATCTGACACAGTAATTCCTACAGCTCTAACCAGGATGGATATTCAGTAATTAAATATCTTGTGATGTGCAAAAGAAGGAAAGGAACAAAGCACTCCAGGCTGAGGTCAGAAAATCCCTATGAGATTTATTCTAGATTACTCACTGCATTTTTTATTTTCACATGGCTTACTCTTGCAGACTCTGACTTGCCCGGTGCCTTTCCGTTTCATGGGATTTTTTCCGGAGGTTGACAATAGGTGTTTTGCCTTGAAAGGCAAGCATGACAAACTATAAAGTCACGTCCTCAATATTCTGGTATGTGCTCATATCCTGGTATGACCTCATTTGAAGGAATGTGATTGTGATTTCCAGCATTACAAGGTGAAATCAGGATTTGGTTACATCTGCCATCTACCACGTAAAATACAGTCTCTCTGAATTTCAGCTCATGCCGATGCATCTTCATAGCCAATGCTAGGAAAAATCACCAATTACTGTGGCTGTTTACAGAGCACAAGAACTGAATATTTAATTTTACCAGCCTCTAAGGACAGCAAAGCTGAATTTGAACTCTAGTTAAAGTTTTGCTGATTACTCTCGACCTTTCCGGGACAAAGACATGAAGGTCACTGGAGTCATGACTTTTTTCACATTCTGCTTGTCTTTGTCATTCCCCTAATAATGCGGAGGACTAGAAACAAGAGCTGGGTGGTGTTTTTTTTCCCCCTGCCTGGAAATCTATTTAGATTAGTCACCGGGTTTTCCAGTCTACGGTCATTGAAGGTCATTTGGTTTACAGCTGAAATTCTCAATTGGAACCTCATCTTGTAATCAGAACTTAAAACCCAAGCAAGGTTTTGTATCTCCTCTGAAAGGGTAGGTTGTTGTATGATTAGCTTCAGAATGTTAAATGGACTGTCTGTGTAATGATGGGTAATTTTGGGGGGCTTAAATTGCTCTATGAGAAGACCTGTCTGGAATAATAATTCCGGGCTATATTATAAAGAGCAGCATTCTAGGCTTCTCCTAAATGCTAATTCTATTACACATTAACATTTCCTTTGCTGTAAAATGGCACAAGGCAAGCCAGCAAGATGTAAAAATCTTGCAAAGTGCATTTTCACTTATAGACTGCTCCTAAGAGCAGGCCATTTCCTGAAAATGTCCCTTAAATAAGCATCCACTTACAGTGGTCATCATCATACAGTCAGCAGCTGCTAATAGCTGCTCCAGAGCCTCGGCTGCTGGCAAACATAGAGCCTTTGTTGTCATCTATAGAGTGGTGGAAATGGCTGTGTAATTTTTACACAGTTGTTTTAAAACTTATTCTTGGCCCTAAGTATGAAGCATCAGCCACACAATGTAGATGCACCCTAGGGACTGCTCAGAAGCACTGGTCAACTGTGTATTCTTTGGTTCTCTAAGACCACTGGCAAGAATCCGAAAACCTCTTTTAATCTTTGTTGATTGATTGATTGATTGATTGATTGATTGATTGATTGATTGATTGATTATTTTAATGTCTCTTTGGTCCACGTGCAACTCAAATGCAAATATTTACATTTACATGTATGTATGTGTATGTGTATATATAAATAATTAAAACTGAAGGCTCCTTGAGGGAATAAATCCAACCCTGCCATGATATTGTTATTGAGGATAACAAGATGACTTTTTGAAAGTATAGAATTTTTCAGTGTGTTTTAATGAACCAGCAGTTACTTTGGGAAAACATAACAAGCAGCAGCTCAATGGTGGTTTACCAAAGCCAGGAATCTCCCTGGACAGCATCACCTACAGAACAGGGGGCAAAGTGTTTCACTTTGGTAGGGGAAGCAAGTTTTAGGCCAACATCTCCAGACATACAAGTTGACCTTTGATTTCTTTGTATTTGTTATACTTTAGGTTCTCAGCTTCAGAGGCTGGCTTCAGCAAGTTCCACCTCCCCATTTGCCCCAGCTGCTGGCTCCCTTTCTGTGTTTCCATCTGACCGCCCTGCAGCAGCTTGGGTGCAAGCAGGAGGTCCCCTCACACAGGGATGGGTGTCAGATCCTGCCCCGTGCAGGGTCAGCTTCATGAGTGTCTCCAGCTGGGCACCACCCCACTGTCCCCTGGTGTCATCACCGTGACCCATGATGCCAGCTCGTGGCTTGTTCCAGCAGGCATTATTGTCACTCTTACTGGCAGGCTGGGCATTTCCAGAACATCTCTGGGGGCAGATGGTTCATCCCCAGCTTGGCTCCATTCCCCAAGGAGTCTGAATCATCACCCTTCGGACACACCTTCTTGATTCCTCTCGAGGCTTGCAGGGGCTGACATTACCCTGCTCTTAATCCCTTCTCCAGAACCACTAAACTCTAATGCCAGATTACCTTTCTCCTTTATCTTCTTTAGCCACTCTACAAACAGAGCTCCTTTTAACTGATTACTTTTATATATTCACTTCACACTGATTTTAAAAAGTTCCATGGCTTTCAAAATAGTGCACTCCAATAGATTCCATCTCAACAAGTCCACCAGCTTCCCAGAGTTGCAGATACCAGAAATATGAATGGGCCCCTGCTCTCCATGTTTTTTAATATACCGTGATCCAGATTATGTTGCTGTTGCTTCACATCTCTCTGATACAAAGATGATGGAAAGTTGTTGTACTGAATTTGGAAGGAATCAATAGCACTTAGAGCTATCTGCATTTTGCAGTTTTCATTAGCCATACAACAGCCTGACTACTCTGGAGAACAAAAGGCAACAAAGTTGTTAAACAATTTTCTTTTACTCAAATTCATTTCATGAGCCTGGCACATCCCAAGGATCTGGGCCTGCATTTCTAAAGCAGGTTATTTTGCTGAGGCCAGGCTGACTTCCCCAGTTCTCTTCTGTCGGAGCGACCATTTGCCAGGAGACAGGAGAGACACAGAAATGACCGGGTAGATGTGGTGTAACGTGAACTTTCTCTCAAACTTTATTACATGCTCTGGAGGGTTTTTATACCCAAGGTTCCTAACGGTAACAGCAGTTAAACTTAACGCTTTTTCTAACGGGAATAACAGTAACTTAAGGTTCATAAGCTCCTACTAACGATGTATAATTCCTTATATGGCAGTTCTGCCGTTGCAGGTAGTGCGTGCTGACTCCCCTCTGCCATACAGTTACATTGGTGGTTCTCACGGCCACGAGGGTACTCGAGACAGACCCTACTGGAACCATTACTGCACCTGCCGGCTGCTGGCCAACGATGGTCAATGGTGCAGATTGTTCCAGAACCTTCACGGGCCTTCTCTCCCCTTACCAGGCCTAGGCCTTACACAGGCCTACCACACTCTTCCTTTTGCTATAGCTGATGTCTCAGAAGAAATAGAAATCAGTGTAACTCATGTTAAAAGGGCACTTTTAGCTCTATGTGCCCAGCCCCATCAGCCTCTCTCAGGCTGGAACCAAATACCAGTGCGTTGGAGAATTAATTTACTTTTTGATGAAGCACAGACCTTAAAAAGCTAAGCTGGATTCAAGGTCTGTGACAGACAGCAAGGTCTTTCGCTGACAGAAATGTGCAGCTGCAGAAAGGGCCTGCTCACAATGAATTGCAGGAAGGCTGCTGTTTGAGATATTTTACTTTTTAATAGGCCACGGAGCCTCCTGGATGTGTGTGGACACTACACTGGTTCCAGGGGTCACATCTCCAGCAATAGTGTGGGTAGCTGTGTGCTCCCTTCCTGCACACAATTTAGTTGATGTTCCAGAACCTAATGAATTCTGGCGGCAGGAATGATAATAGCAGACAATTGTTTGTCTCCAGTCGCTAAATTTTGTTAGAGAGTTAAAATAAACCTGTCTGCTTGACTAGTCTCATGTGCAGCAAAATAAAAATAAGCCTTCACAAAGAATCATTTTCAAGCGCCATTTTACTTTTTGTCTTAGGCTCACAAATGCCTTTCATGTTTTCTGATATGTCAGCTATCATAACACAAAATAAATAACCAAGTGAAATACACAGACATGTTCTCTGGGTGGCTTATGGTGTAGAAAAAAGAGCCTTCAGCGGCTTCCTTTACCTGCTTTCTTGTCTTTTTTTTTTTCTCCCCTAAGGCTTGCAATAGATGCTTCTTCGTAGCATGTGCATGAAACACTAATGTTATTTTAATTCTGTTTTGCAGCTTTTGGGAGCCCATTCACAGCTGAGGACCCCCAGTGAGTTGGACTCGGTGCAGACAGAACAAATCCAGCTCTGGCTCTGAGGACAGCCCATCCCACGCTGCGCCTCCCATGGCCACGGGAGACTCACGCTGTAAATGTTGATGCATTCAACACATCTGCCACGCATGCAGATCATGGAGACAGTGACATTGCCTGGGACACTGGGGGCTTTGCAGCAGGGCCTATCGGCTGCTAAATACATCATTCAAATGGAAACACTTTTCAAAAAAAAGGCTGGTGCTTGCCATGGGAATTCAGCTTTAGAAGAACATGGCAGTGGAGCAGGACTTGTTAGGTCAAATATTTTAAAAAGTCCCCCAGTCATGTAGGAACTTAATTTCAGATGTGAACTGGAATTTAATTTCAAGGAACAAAGAACTTAGGGCATTTCTGCAAAGAGGGCTAGGTTCCCATTTGACTTTTCAAAATATTACCCCATCTGTTTAAAAAAGACCCTCCCACATACAGACCCAGTCCTGACACTCCAGAACAGACAGAAAACAGCAGTAACTCTTTGCTGATTTAGACCAGCACAGTGCCTGCCCGCTAACAATAGCCAGAGGAGAAAACTCCTGTTACAGTCCTGCCAATGGGACCTTTTTCCGTTTGTCAGTAAGTGAATCCCAAAATTTTACTGGAACCAAATTAAATTTGAAACCGAAATCCTGTCCTACTCTGGTCCCTGTCTCTATCACTGTTAGCTTGACTTTACATTGAAGCCATTAAATAAAAATGGCATAGGACCAGTGACCTACCATTTAGCATCCGCTTGCATTTTTTCCATAAAAGTAAACCTGTTTCTCCTAGAAATAGCTACAGGCATTTGACTCATTAAATTTTTGTTTGAATGGATTTCTTTTTGATCAAAATCAAATGTCATTTCTGAGCTACCCCCCAAAAAAACTATTAAAGCTCTTCCTAAAAACAAAGCAGACTTTCTGTCTTTTGAGTAGGGATCATAACTAAAGGCTGCTATTTCTTTTTTCTATGAAGTTATTTCAGCAATTAAATATATTCAGAAAAGATTTTTTCCCCTAGAAAGCAAATAATTGTGCCTTTCAAAATAATAATAAGAGAGTGGAGGAATTCATTCAAAATAAATAGAATTGTTCTCTGCTTTACAATTCTTTTTGTAGGTCAAAATAGGACAATGTTTCTTGTCAATAGAAAAAGCTCTGTAAGGGGAAACATGTTGACAGTGGCTTCAAAGCAGTTTCAAACAATGAATGATCCAGCATACTTGGTTAAAATCCCCCACAAAAATCTTGAATTTCCAAGACTGTAACCTCCCAAGGTTTGTTCCCGAGGCTGGTCTCCATGCCCTGCTGATGTTGGGTTTGCACTCACTGCTGGACTTTGCCCCCTGTTCTGCAGGTGATGTTGTCCAGGAGATTCCTGGCTCTGGTAAAACACCCCTGAGCTGCTGCATATTATGTTTTCCCAAATTATCTGCTGGTTCATTAAAACACACTGAAAAATTCTATACTTTCAAAAAGTCAATGGGGGCAGCTGCAGGGACATGATTTCTCCTGGACAGAGCAAAACCACTGAGATCTGATCCATATCTAGACTTTTAAACAGTAAAAAATCAGCAAGATTTTGCTGATTTCTTGCAGCTGAGGGACCTCCTGTACATTTTTGAAGGACTACTACTGTTATTAAATACTTGCCACACTGATAGATGGAGCCACAGAGAATCCTGCTGCATGAGAAGTATATTGTGGTGGCCATAGCTGGGAGAAATTTGGCTTGGTTCCCTCGACTGCATAAATGTAAAGTCCACTTACACCAGCTGCGTGTCTGGCCCTAAAATTTGATTTATCATTTGGTCCCTTAGCCTAGGTCAAAGCTATCATGCATGCATCTAATTGAAAGTGCAGAACAGCTGACATGGAAAGAGAAAATAGGTTTGAAAAAAAATCATTAAAAGCATGTCAGAAAGCTACAAGATCATTCCCAGTTATTTTTAGGGTGCTCATGACAAATTTCTGATACACTAACCACCTGTGAGGGCAGTGCTAGCGCCTTCCAGAGAGAAAGGCTCCAGCTTGGTCTTCGTCTTTACAGCCAAAGTTTTCAAGGACATGGCTTGTTGCTTAATTCATTTGATCCTATTGGCCAGCTGTCAACAAAAGTGTCAATCCTGTATTTGTAACGTCATAAACTTCGAAGTATGATGTTGTAAACTGAGGACCATGACTTTGACTTAAGGGCAGGAGCAGATGGCCGGGGCACGCACTTACGAGCTTGTTTTCAGGAAGCGAGACCTTGCGATCATAACAGTAAAAAAGTTACTTCATTGGAAAAGAAGGCAAGAAATCATTTTGCTGAAGTGCCCCCACTGTTTCTCCAAACCCTCCTGAAAAAAACGTAATTGATTTCTAAGATCCGTGCGAGACTGCATATTTATTGCGCCGAATGAAATATGGATTGCATGAATTCTGCCGGTGTGACATTCAACCCACTCGAATATTATGAGTTTGACAGTTTGACTCTAACTCAGTTTATTTCCCACTTGAGAGACTGGAAAGGAACAGATGGGGATGTGAGAACGACCAGGGAGGGGAAGAGCGTGCAGCAGCTTGTGCTGCCGGGCCCTGGTGTGAGCGCACCTCCCCGCAGCCACTCAGGGGTTGTGACCGCCACCGAGAAGTGGTTTTCCAGACATTATTAAAGCTGCAGAAGCACATGCGGCTCCTGAAGCAAGCATCAGGCAGCCCCAGAAGGTAAGAGAAGGTCTGCTGAGTACAGGCTGTGCCAAATTTAGCACTGGAGGAGAAAAGGTGATAGAGGTCAGCTTTACAGGTCTTGGAGGACGTTGGCTGTCTCAACTGCTCGTCACTGCTGTCAGGCATACCCCGACATTAGTGCTGAGTTAATAAATAACTGCTAGCTGTATCATCACAATATTTACTTCACTGCTCGGAACATTTCCCCCCACTCCAGACGATAGCATCTCTCTTTTTCAAATGTTTTGTGTGTTTTCAGGTCTTTTGTCTACTGACCATATTTTGTGTCCTTATTATATATACTGCTTAGTCATATGTTTACTGAAAATTAATGAAGAAGAACACTTGGCACGTTCCAGAGTCAAAATACTTTGCAAACATTAACTAATTAATAATGTATCCCTTATTTTCAGACATGCTAGCATGCTTGAATGCCGAGTGAAATTCTGCTAAATCATTGTCTCCCTGCGTGTCCCCTGCTCTTTTGCTAACCCATTACATGGTTCAAGAGTCTGATTATTGAGTTTGGTTATAGACAGCAAGTCTGATTCAAACTTTTGATAAGCGCACGGCTTCCAAAATACCTCTGTAATCCAGACCAGGCTTCTAAACAGAGCTCAATGTGACACGCAGCAGTGTCAGAGTGTGTGAGGTATGATCTTAAAATAAGCCGAATGCCTTCTACCTGACAAAACAGAACCACCATTTTCAGAAGGTCTGGCCCCAGATGGCAGAGGCTTTGCCTGGGAATCAAAGAGGTTTTGCTATTTTGTATATTCCATTGGAGACCCTGAACCAGCGCACTCCGTGTGCCAGCAGGGATACTGCAGTAGCGCCAGCCCTGCCTGCTGCAGCAGCTCGGGCCAGGGCCGTGCATTTAACTCCTTGCCAGCCAAGAGGACTCTGAGGGTTGTGCTCCAGACAGAAAAACCAAGATACAAATCTTATAATTAACACCACCCATGCCCATTCTTTATAGAGGCTTGTAACCGGTTTGGTTCAAAGGTGTTTGTTTTCACGGCAGAGTTTACAGAGGTTGCACCCTTATTTATCCCAGGACACCCCTATAAATGTTTGAGTGCAAGGCTCAGTTACTGCAATTCCCTCATAGCAGGAGTTTGCCATAACTCAGCTGGTTCATGAGGCTCGCTCACAGATCCAACAGCTTGAGTGATATTGCTCCCACCTTGCTCCCCTGGTTTTTGCCAGCATTTGTATCACATTCCCTTTTCTGTTTACTGTCTCCCTGCTGCCTTAGCATGATGCAAACTGTCGCCTTGAAAGAAGCACAGGGCACTGCAGAAGCGCTTTTGGAAAATATTCCTTTGTGAAACTTCGAACAGATAATGTGCCGGTCCAGATGCTTCTTCAGGGGTTTTCATATTTTGGAGGGGAGTGAGGGATTGCAAGGCTTAAGGGTTTGGTTTTGTTTTGCAAATACAGGGAGAGCGCTCTGGGTCTAGGCAATGTAGGGTGTTACATCGAGAGCTCTCAGCACGGCTTTCATTCGGGTATTACAGCCACCAGAGACGACTTCCAAAGATTCCCTTCCTAGAATGAGTGATGCCCTTCTAGGATGTACCAGCCACTTACCCAAAAAGAACAAAAGGCACAGAATGTACATATTCGTGGGTAACGTTGCTGAGGAAAGAACAACCAGTCTCTCTCTCCATGAGAGGCTTATCTGAATTCAGTACACCAGTTCTTCTGAGTCGGCAATGTTTGCAGTTCAGTCACAAATTTTTCTCTACATTTTCCACCTCACTTGAGTGTTCCTAAGCCTAATACGAGAGCAAGCAGTGTGCTTTTTCTGGTCTGCAGAAACCAGTATGCCCTACTTTTCACTTTCCTTAGGAAAAAAATCTTTTTCTTCAGAGAATGTTCTGTAGAAATGCAATGAATCCTCCAGCCTGCTATTTTATAACGTGCTGCACTCCCAAGGTCAATCGATTAATATTCTATATTAATCGTTAAACTTCAGATTAACTCTTGCCATCCCCTTACAGAGCTTGTACTGAACAGTGGCTGTGCTGATATTTCTTGCTTTCTTTGTTCTTCAGTTACATGGAGTGGTTAGGGATGAACCTGACACCACTAGAATCTAGATAACAAGGAAGAAGAGATTTTAAAGATAATTTAAGAGAACTGCAATGGCATCTAGACATCGATACAGAAACAGCAGCTCTTCTGTGTCATGCAGAAATTAAACCACTCGCCTAAGAACTTATTGCTTCTAGGACTCCCAGACTAGTCCTTATAAATAGCAAACTTGTAAATAGTTTGACAGCCTTCAGGGACTGCTGACCTTGAATTCCCTTTCTATGAGTACATCCAAGATCGTGCAAGCAATCCGTGTTAAGCAACACCTATATTTATAAAACTTATAGAAATGCATAATGTAGCAGACCTGGCTTGGAAACAGCCACTGTTTTGGCTCTTTCACTGCTCCATGGCTGTAACAGAGGGACGAAGGAAAATCCAGCCATGAGTTCACCCTTACCCTTAAGGAACATCACTCCTGTGATTGGCTTAATGCTTTTTGTTTGTAATCCCTTCAACCCCCCAGGCCTCCTAATCCAGTTCTCACTCCCATGCTACAAATAAAACCAGGCAGAATAACCCATAGTGTAGCCATTTTCCAGCATTATGCCCAGACCCAGCTTTTGGATCTCTTTGTCCCAGATCCTTGGAGCTATCCTAAAGGATAGCTATCCTAAATGTCTATCCTAAATGTCAAAGAAGCAGACTCCCATGAACGCTCCTGTCTTTGGGGATTCCCACTGCTGCTCAGACATCTGCAGGCGAGGAGGGAGGAATATTCAGAAAAAAGGCTTGCAACTGAGGTGTGTTTCCTGGATTTAAAGAGAACACAGCATAAAAGCAACTCCTCAAATTTTTTTGACAAGGGCCAGGGACTGGAGCAGAGACCAGAAAAGCTGAGTTTCAGAGCTCACACTGACAATCTCTGACTCTTTCCAAACCCACACTTAGTATTTCTCAGTTACCCACTTGGAAAAAACACAAGAAAACACAACCCCACATTTCCACCCCAGCTGTTAATTCTGATTGTTGACATACTTTAGGGGTTTCTCTTTACCTTAAATATTATTATCAAGGCACTGGTGTCAACTGGAATGTTTCCAGTCAATAAAGCTGGTGATTCATAGTGGCAAAGAATTTAGTAATTTCTTTTATGGATGCTGCTATATGGGAAGTATTACATTTGTCTATTTTGTCAACTGAGCACTGAATTGCTCTGGTGAGATACTTAATACTATTTCTTCAGGCTAACTTTGCAAATGTAGCTTAATGGGCAAATGTGTAACATTATTATTAATTTAAAATAGAAATTACATCTGTTCTACTTGGACTTGCATTTAAATTTGCCTAATATTCCCTCTATATAATTTAATGCATCTTGGCCTATCAGAGTTGGCTAATAAACGAATAATATCAGGGGGATCATTTAAAGCAGTAGGGTTGAAAAATGCTTGTTTGTAAAATTGAAAGAAGTGCACTGATTAGGTGGAAAATTGAAATTTGCAAAGTGTCTTGAGTTCTTTTGGTTTTAAGAATCCTGATTATTCAGCATTAATGCCTGGAACTTAAACTCAGTTCTTAAACTGATGCATGCAGGAACAGGGGAATTTAGAGCTGCAGTGCCTTGCTCAGGCCTGTTGAGTTCAGGCCATTTTGGGACATTTACGATGAAAAAATAGATTTGAGATGAAAGGGAGCAGGTCACAGGGACACTCTGATTTCCATGCAGGACTCCCATCCCCCAGCTGCCCAGACTGGGAGGTGCAGCAGCTCCCATGCAGCCCCTGAAACTGGATTTCCTTTCCAGGAAACCAGGGAATGGGTTCCCAAACCAAAGCTGAGCCCGCAGCTGGATAGACTTGGAATTGCTGCCAGGCTCCTCAGCTCAGCTGTGAACCATTCAGGATGGGTGCTCTACTCCAAATCACTGTGATTAGGTAACAATAGCAAAACACAAGACGGGAAGAGTAGCTCCTCACCAAAATAGCTTCACCAAGGACTGAACACTGCTCCAAACAATAATAGGGCTCCAGATTACAGCTGAAAACTAGTTTGACCAGGCATAGTACT